CCCTGCCCTTCTCCCCCGCCCCCCGTCAAAAGAGAACCTAAGGTCTTCCTATCCCCAGCAAGGTCTTTCAAATTCCATGGAGGAAAATGGGGAGGCCTATGGCATCCCCTCTCCCCGCTACCCAGGTGGGGAAGGGTCGGCCACTTGCACTCCAGAACAGGAGGGGCTGCCTGGCCTTTGTACACCCAAGGGGGAGGGACAAGCCAGAACCGAGACCCTGCAGCCTGAGGCCCGCTGTGAACCCTACAGGGACGCCGGAGTTCATGGCCCCAGAGATGTACGAGGAAAAGTACGACGAGGCCGTGGACGTGTACGCGTTTGGCATGTGCATGCTGGAGATGGCCACCTCTGAGTACCCTTACTCAGAGTGCCAGAATGCCGCGCAAATCTACCGCAAGGTCACCTCGGTGAGAGGGGTGGGGGAGAAGGGCGAATTCCACCTGCCCTCCCATTTTCCTGTCCCAACCAGCCCGCGGTCAATGCCCTTCCCTCAATGAAAACAGGCTAGACATTGAGATGCCAGGTTTACCCTGAAGGATAGTGGACACACACACACACACACACACACACACACACACACCCCTCTGCTGCAAGCTATTCAGATTAATGATGTGTGCGTAGCCCTCCCTCCGATTCCACTTTCAGTCTGTCATCGGATCCTTTCAGCGGCCCCGCGGGGTGTTACAAATGAAAAAAAAAACTGACTTAGAGGCAGATTTGTTTAAGGTCATTCTGTCCATACGTGCGGGGGAGGAGGGGGGATTGGGATTCGAAGTCAAATCTCCCGGTAGCAGCAGAGGTGCTTTTGCAAGTGTTGCTGCCTTGGTCGGGAGCATGTCAAACTGAGAAGGGGGGGCGGGTAGGGTTGGGGGGCGCCCAGAGAGCCGAGGCTGATGAAACCCCTTCCCCAGGGCACCAAGCCCAACAGCTTCTACAAGGTGAAGATGCCCGAGGTGAAGGAGATCATCGAAGGCTGCATCCGCACGGATAAGAACGAGAGGTGGGGTGGGGGGAGCCCGGCAGGGGTGGGTTGCGAAGGTGGGCGGCCGCGGGGCTCGGCTCACCGCTGCTCCGCCCTCAGGTTCACCATCCAGGACCTCCTGGCCCACGCGTTCTTCCGCGAGGAGCGTGGTGTTCACGTGGAGCTGGCGGAGGAGGACGACGGTGAGAAGCCCGACCTCAAGCTCTGGTTACGCATGGAGGATGCGCGACGCGGGGGGCGCCCACGGGACAACCAGGCCATCGAGTTCCTGTTCCAGCTGGGCCGTGACGCTGCCGAGGAGGTGGCGCAGGAGATGGTGAGCGGAGGGTGGACCGCCCTGCGGTGGGCGGTGGGTGGTGGGCGGTGGGCGGCGGGAAGGGGGCCCAGCCCACTCTTCTCAGTGTCTCCTGACTTTTTTCTTTTCTTTTTTTCTTTCCTCTTCCCTTTTCCTTTTCTTTTCTCTTCTCTCTCTCTCTCTCTCTTTTTTTTTTCCCCTTCCTTCTTTACACACACTGTGGTCAACACGTTGAAGATTTTCTTTTCCAGGATAGACCCTGGCTCCTCCAACCTCCCTGCTTTACTTCCTGCTGGGCTGATAATGTTTCTGGAATGCTTTTCTCTCCAATTTATCGATATATTTATTTTTTCTTTTTTCATATCCCCCCATCCACTCCCCCCCCCCCGCCCCCCGCTCAGAACCACCACCAACTTCAGGAAGCCCAGCCCTCTAGAGTCTAAATTAAAGGCTGCTTTTCACTGCAGCAGGTACTGGGTCACAGGACCCCCCACCACAGGTTTTGTTTGCCACCAGAATATATTTCCGTCTTTCTCCTCTCCTCGACCATAAACTCCTTGAGGGCAGAGACTGTATTTTCTTGATTTCTCCACCCCTGACAGTGCTTGACCTGTGGCGGGAGCTCCTTAAGCGCTCCCGTGTGTCCGTGACTTCGGGCGTGTCCACACGCATTTGGTCCTGGTTCCTTCCCCTACATGGAACGATTTTATCCTGCCTTATTGATGAATCAGAAAGGCGGACTGTCTTGTCCAGGGTGCCAAGCGAGTCAGTGGCAGAACTGGATCTCAGTACAGGTTGTTCAGCCTTTAAGCCAGCTCACCCTGCCCCACCTCCTGCATGTGCCCAGCAAATCCTGTTGAAATGGGTAAAGGGCTGATGACCGGAAGCTGGCGGTCCAGACGAGGGACACGAGGGAGGAGGAAGATGTGGGGGAAGAGGCTGGGGGGTTGGGTTCAGGAAGGCCTGAGGGGGGAGGGACGGAGTATAAGACTTTCAACAGAAGAATGGGAGTGGAAAAAAGTGTAGGGAATCATCTATTGTGGGTCTGGGTTGAGCACCTGAGGAAATGCTTGAAATGTGGCGGAGGAGCAGGTCTCCGTGACACTGACCTGAGGTCACATCCTGGCCAGTTCCTCACAGGGGTTCTTGACCTCGACATGACTGACACCTTTGTTCTGGGGACTGTCCCGTGCACTGCAGGATGTTGAGAAGGATTCCTGGCCTCTACTTGCTAGATGCCCGTAGCACCTGCCCATAGTTATGACAAAAAGTCTTCAAATATTGCCAAATGTTCCACCCCATCCCCCCAATGAGAGCAAGTGACTTACTGCCTAACCGTGAACCGGTCACTTATGTCTAAAATGGGGTTGATAAGACCTCTCTCGGGAGGTCATTGGGAGGTTAACGGTGATGATGTAAGGAGGTGCCAGTTAATGGGTATAGCAGTTAACCAATGAATGTTGATTCCCTTCTTCCCATGTCCTGGAGGCCCCAAGAAAGTGTTCTGATGGGTCTTTGAGAGGGGGTCCCAAACTGTGTTCCTCACCCTCCTATCCCAGGTGGCCCTGGGCTTGGTCTGCGAAGCTGATTACCAGCCCGTGGCCCGTGCAGTGCGTGAACGGGTGGCCGCCATCCAGCGAAAGCGTGAGAAGCTGCGCAAAGCTAGGGAGTTGGAGGCCCTCCCGCCGGAGCCGGAGCCCCCACCAGCAACTGTCCCCATGACTCCCGGTCTCCCCAGCTCCTTCCCGCCTGAGCCTGAAGAGCCAGAGGCAGACCAGCACCAGCCATTTCTCTTCCGCCATGCCAGCTACTCATCCACCACCTGTAAGTCACCTCTGACCTTGGGGCCTCGGTCCCAGAACCCTTGGCCTCTGCCCGACCCAGAAGTTCACCCCAGCAGCACTGTCACTTACCCTGCCTTACACATCCAGCCACTGAGCTCCTTCCGGACAACCGCAGGCCCCGTCTTGCTCAGGCAGCACCCCCCGCCCACTGCTCTGCCACCACTCTCCTTTATTTCCCCTTTTTTGATCCCCTACCCCACCAGCGGATTGCGAGACTGATGGCTACCTCAGCTCCTCCGGCTTCCTGGATGCCTCAGACCCCGCCCTGCAGCCCCCTAGGGGGGTGCCGTCCAGCCCCGCTGAGTCCCATCTCCGCCTGCCCTCGGTGAGAGGGGGTCACCTGGGGGGCTCCCAGCCATGCCAAGCCTGTGACCTATCCCCCTACTTGTGAAATCCAGCCCCACGACTTGGCCCCACGCCCCTGGAAATCCACCACTTGGGTCCTCGTCTTCCTTGATCCCGTCTCCCGAGCACCTCAGCATCCTAGACACCATCTCCCTGCATCGCAACAGCGATCTCTCCCTGATCTCAGGCACCCATCTCCTGTTTCAGGCCTTTGCCCTGTCTATTCCACGTTCTGGCCCTGGCAGTGACTTTTCCCCTGGAGACAGGTAAGTTCTGGTACGAGTTGGGGTGCCAGGGTGAGACATCTGGGGCTTTGGGGTCTGGGGGCCCGCCCTGACACTCCTCTCTTCTTTTCCTTTTGTAGCTACCCCTCCGATGCAGCATCGGGCCTTAGCGACGCGGGCGAGGGGGCGGGGCGGATAAGGAGGCCCCTAGGGAGAAATCTCCGGCGCAGACCTCGATCCCGACTTCGGGTCACTAGCGTAAGGAAGAGGCACCAGAGACGGGGCACAGCCTTCGGGGCCAGGAGGGGACTGTCAGGAGGATGTGGGGGTCAACCAGAAAAGGGGGGTGGCCGTGTGTGACTGCTACGCGAGCGGCAGGCAGTTTTCATACCAGACTTTGGGAGCGGGGTCTGCTTCTCTTCACTTCCGGTCCAGCCGGGTCCCTTGGTTGGCGTGGGGAGGGGACACGTGGTGAGGACCAAGAGCTTGACCCTCTCCCTTTTGCTGAATTTGAATCTGAAGGTCTCAGACCAGAATGACAGAGTGGTCGAGTGCCAGCTGCAGACGCACAACAGCAAGATGGTGACCTTCCGGTTTGACCTGGACGGGGACAGCCCAGAAGAGATTGCAGCTGCCATGGTGAGGCGGGGAAGGGTGAGGACGGAATCTCCGGGTCTGGGATGAGAGTGTTCCTCCTGAGGCTCCCCGGGGCGGAACTGCCCCGCCCCCCGATCCCCACCGTTCAACAGCGAGGGCTTTTAAAACACCGAGTGGCACACAGCACAGTGTCGCTGAGGAAATCTCTTTGTTTTGGAGACTTGTTTATCCAGTGAGGCTCGGAGCCTCAGCTGGAGCAGTTTGAGACCCACACAGAGTACACGCAGGTGCTACAGTGCAGTACTTGCTAGACACACGATGCTGAGGCCATAAGTAAAGGACGGGCTGGGGGCAGGAGGGGGAAGGACTTAAGTGAAGGCCAGCAGGTGGGGAAGAGTGGCAGTGAGGGGCGGAAGGGGCGTGTCTGGTAGGGGCTCAGCTTAAGCGAAGGCTCGGAAGTAGGGAGTGACTCGGAATATGGTGATGGGAGGGCTTCACGGGGAGACCACTGGGATGAAGGGTCCCAACAGGAGCCCTGCTGGAAGCAAGGTCGGGCATGTAGAGTGGGCCGGGATCATAGCTGGCGTTAAGAGTTAGGCAGAGTGGTCCTGGCTGGGTAGCTCAGTTGGTTAGAGCATCGTCCGGATACACCGAGGTTGCGGGATCAGTCCCTGGTCAGGGCGCATACGAGAGAGTCAACCCATGAACGCACACATGGGAGGAACAACAAATTGATGTGTCTCCTTTCCTCTCTCTCTCTCTAAAAATCAATACATTTTAAAAAATCCAGTTTCTTAAAATGAAAAGAGAGAGAGAGTTGGCAGAGTGTAATACAGTGGGAGGAGGTTTTAAGAAAACCAGCCTGTGCTGGGATGTGCGAGTGGGCCGGCGGGAGGGGGTCCCGGCAGCAGGTGGGCACAGAGAGCCAGGTGTGGACGCCTGGAATAGGTTATGTGGGAGGACGAAGGGGGCATCGGGAAAATAAGGTCCTCTGTGACACAGTTATTCATTGACAGAGCACAATACACAGTGCAGATGTTGAATAAATATTTGCCGAGCTGATACGATAGGGTGTTAGGGAGACAGGGTATCAAGGGTGACTTTTAGTTTGGAGGAACTATTGGGAGTAGACCGTCAAAGGAGAGGAGAAGTTGGGAATGACGGTGGGCCTTTCTAGAGGTCATGGTGAGCTTGAGTGATGGACAGTCAGGATAAGATTCTCACAGAAGCAGGATGTGTCCAGGCAGGGCTGGAGAGAGAGGTGGATTCAGGGTCGTCGCTATGGAACCGGGCAGGGCTGGAGAGAGAGGCGGATTCAGGGTCGTTGCTATGGAACCGGGAGTGAAGGGGGCTGGGCCTGCAGAACCAGAGGCACAGAAGAGGGAGAGTGTGTCTCAGTGGACACCTTGAAGGACGCAGAGGTGGAGCCTGAGAGGCAGGAGGAGCCTGGAAGGCGTTAGTGGAAACTGAGCGAGGACAGAGTTTCACGCAGGCGGCACAGGGTGGCGTCGGCCTAACGCAAGACCGCACTGTGGGCTTCCGCCAAGAGAAGGGCTCCGTGGGAGCCGCTGTCAGTGGAGCGAGGGCAGAGGACATCAGCCTCTGGGGTGAGGGAGGACATGGGATGGGAGAAATCTCAGGCTTCAGGCGCTGTCTTCTGAGAATCGTCTCTGTTGTGTCGTTCACCTCGTGTCCAGGACAAAGACAAAATGTCATCTGGCATGCAAGCTAATCATCTCCCGTCAAGCTACTGGGCCCTTCCAGAATCTTTCCTCCAGGCACCCTCGTTCCTCAACGATTCTCTGCAGGGCCTGGGTGCTGTTCTGTTTCTGCCTCCACCCGCTCAGGGGCCTCTCGTGTCTTCCCCGAGAGCCTTCTCTACTTCAGTCTGACCTTGTGCTTTTGCCCCCGAATCTTTAGTGGCTCTTTGGGGTCACAGAGTAAGGTCCAAACTCTGGAACATGGTCTCGAAAGTTCACAGCCCTCTCGGCTCTACTCAAGTTTCATCTGTTTTGTGAATGTGTCACGCCTTTCCACACCCCAGAGCTCTTACTCAAGCTGTCCCCTCTTCCTACCCTGCCCTTCTCTCCCCGGTGGGCAGCGTGGGACAGAGGAAAGGGTAGGCTTTCATGTAAGACCTGAGTGCAAACACAGCTCTCTCATTCTGTGAACTTGGGCAAGTGTCTTAACTTCTCTGAACCTCAGTTGCTCATCAGCAAAATGTGGGTGATCATACCTCTTCTGCAAGATGTTCTGATGTAATTTAAGGGGTGTGATCTAGTACACAGGAGAAGGGAAATGATATATAACATCCGAGAAGTGTCCATACACGATCGGTCCTCAGTAAAGGGTGGTTTTCCTTACCCATCCTTCAAGGTTCAGGTCTGTGACGTCATCCCAGCTCCCCCGCTCCCCTTCCTCCCTCCCCATCAGGTCCCATGACCTATTCTGTCTTTGAAATAGCAGTTTAAAAAACTGTAGTTAAAAAATACATAAGATTTGCCTTTTTAACCCTTTGTAAGCACACAGCTCATGAGCATTAAGCATATTCACACTGCTGTGAAACAGATCTCAAGAACTTCTCCATCTTGCAAACCTGAAGCTCGCCACCCGTGAAACACCAAGTCTCCCTTCCCCCGCCCCCCCGGAGTGCGTTTCTGTCTGCTCTTGGGTCACAAACACCGTGGACCGACTCGCTGTGTACTGCGTTCTGCACATATGTGTCTCTCCCGCTAGGTTTTGGGCTTCTCGAGGACCAGGACCTTATTTTATGCTTCCTTTATGCTTTTGTTTTTATACTGTATTCTTCACAGTACCTAGCACAACGCCTGATGCGTAGTATGTGCTCCATAAGCGTGTATGGACTTGAATGTTCTATTTGCCATTTATTACCTTACTTTTACTTAAGTGTGTGTGTGTGTGTGTGCATGCACGCGCCCATGTGGTATACTTTATCAGCTCTATGAGAGCAGGAATCGTGTCCAAAAGCTCGTGGGGCGATAGTGGACAGGGCGCAGGCTTTGGCTGTAGACAGGTCTGGGTGCAAACCCTGTGATCTAGGCAGACCTCAAACTCCGTGAGCATGGGTTATCTTTACTCTACGGTGGAGGTGTTAATACACACCCCCGAAAGCTGTTGCTGGTGTGAAATGTGGTAAGATATGTAAAACCCCTAGTATATACCTGCATCCTATGGATGTCAGCTGCTTTCCTCTAAGCCGACGATTTCCAGCTTCTTTCATTTCAGGGCACACACAAACAAATTACTAAAATTCTGCAGCACGCCAAAATATATGTTCTATTTTTTTGCCAGTCTGACAAAAAAAATAGGTATAATTTTGATCTGTCCACACGGGACGGCTATTATCGTGTTGGCCGTGGTCATGTTTTAGTTTGATGATCTACGGTAAAAGAGGCCCGTGCCCCTGATTAAACAGCCAAGTGTTACATGTTTCAGAAATTCCTGCAGCACACCTGGGTGCCTCTCCTCGTGGCATGCCAGTTGGAAATCGCTACTCTGAGCTGTAGATGAAAGTAGCTAATAGCACTCAGTGCTTGACGCACAGCAGATGTTTATCAAATACTTGTTTGAGGCTGGTGGTCGGCAGAAGCGGTGAGCTGGAGGGCTGGTTTCTAAAGATTGGGGCGGGGTGGGGGAGGGACAGAGCTGAGTGGGGAACTGAGCCCTCCCTCCCCTCCCTGCTGACCTTCGCCAGGTGTATAACGAGTTCATTCTGCCTTCGGAGCGGGCCGGATTCTTGAGCCGCATTCGGGAGATCATCCAGCGGGTGGAGAGCCTGTTGAAGAGAGATACCGGCCCTGTGGAGGCTGCCGAAGACCCCCTGGGCCCTCAGGTCAGACCCCCAGGACGCCTCCAGGGGCAAACGGACTCTCTGCTCCGGGCTTCACTACCCTCTGCCTCGCCAGTCGCCTTGGACCTGACTTCTCTTCACCTCTGGGAACCTAAAGCAGTGGCTGTCAGCCTCTGATGAAGGCCATGGACCCTTGTTCTAGAAACATGTGTTCAGTGCATGCTTTTCTTTTAACGCATTATTTCGAAATAATGTCAGTCGTACAGAAAGAAGTTGCAAGAATTGTACAAAGAACTCCTTGATACTCTTAGCCTACATTTGCCGATCGTTTTGCCACATTAGCTTTCTTTCTCTTCCCCCCTCTACCTGTGTGTGCATTTTTTTCCTGAACCATTTAAGTTGCAGACATTATGCCCCTTTTCCTCTAAATGTCTCAGCAATACATTCTTTAATTCCTGAAATGCATCTGTGGACTCCTAGAGGTCCGTGAGTTGTAGCTTACGAACCCCAGTCTGACACCGTCGTCGAAGACCAGGCTCTTCCCCACGGTGACTGTGGGCCTTCTCTCTCCCAGGAGGAGCCAGCTCCGTTGCCTGCCCTCCCAGGCCCCCTCCCCAACCCATCCGGTGGTATGTACTGAGTTCTGTCCCTCCTCTTCCCAGCCCTTGGGTTGCTCCCGGGAAAGGCACAGAAAACGGAGGACTGGAATTTCAACACGCCCTCCTCCCCAGCAGAGCTCCAGAGCGGTACCTCCCCGGAGCATAGCAGCTGGGCAGCCTTCTCCACCTCCCCGTCTTCTCCTGGAACCCCCTTGTCTCCTGGAAGCCTGTTCTCTCCCGGGACCCCTGTTTTCCCAAGTCCCGTCTTCCCCATCACTTCTCCCCCATGTCATCCCAGCCCCTCCCCGTTCTCCCCAGTTTCTTCCCAGGTCTCAGATCTCTCTCCACACCCCCCCAGCTCTCCACTCCCCTTCTCCCCCAGTGCATCATCCCAGTTTCCAGCCCCGGCCTCTCAGTGTCCACAGAGTTCTGTCCTTTCTAGTTCTCCCCCTACCTTCTCTCCCAGCTGCACCCCCGTCACTCTTGTGCCACATCCCTTTCCCCCGTGCCCCCCTGCCTCTCCCCCTCCCCTCCCCCACTGCCGCTCCTCTGCTCTCTCTGGCCAGTGCCTTCTCCCTGGCTGTGATGACTGTGGCCCAGTCCCTGCTGTCCCCCTCACCTGGGCTCCTTTCCCAGTCCCCTCCAGCCCCCCCTGGTCCCTTCCCGAGCCTGCCCCCTTCCCCTCCCCGCGCTCCTTGTGGCCAGGAGAGGCCTTCACCTTTAACAGCCGAGTTGGAGAGTGAGGTGAGTAGGAGAACAAGAGGGAGGATGATTAAGGGGGCTCCGTCTTGCATCACTCCTCTCCTGATGGGTCCACACTTTTTAGGCCTCCCCAAATCCTGCTCGGCCACTCCTGGGTGAAGCCAGACTGGCGCCCATCTCCGAAGGTGAGGCCTCTGACCACTGACCTTCCCCTCTCCATGATCCTCAGTGCACTTTATGTGCTGCCACTGATTTCTCGCCCTCCTGCCGTGACTCCCTCCCTCTTTCTCTACAGAGGGAAAGCCCCAGCTTGTTGGGCGCTTCCAAGTGACGTCATCCAAGGAGCCCGCTGAGCCTCTACCCCTGCAACCAGCATCCCCAGCTCCCTCTGGTTCCCTGAAGCCTCCCACCCCTCAGCTGTCCTCAGAAAGCTCAGACACAGAGGATAGTGCTGGAGGCGAGCCAGAGGCCAGGGAAGCTCTGGCCGAGAGCGACCGTGCAGCTGAGGGCTTGGGGACTGGAGTTGAGGAGGAAAGGGACAGTGGGAAGGAACCCCACGTCGGGGACAGCCCCCCACCCCTGGGCCATCCCAGCCCAGTGTGGATGAACTACTCCTACAGCAGCCTGTGTCTGAGCAGTGAGGAATCGGAGAGCAGTGGGGAAGATGAGGAATTCTGGGCTGAGCTGCAGAGCCTTCGGCAGAAGTGAGTCTGGGGAGGGCGGAAGACAGTAAGTGGGCTTGGGAGAGCAGTGTGTGGTTCGCCCTCTTATGCTCCCGGTGCACCCTTAGGCACTTGTCAGAGGTGGAGGCACTGCAGACACTGCAGAAAAAGGAAATTGAGGACTTGTACAGCAGGCTTGGGAAGCAGCCCCCGCCGGGGATCCTGGCCCCCGCTGCTATGTTGTCCAGCCGCCAGCGCCGCCTGTCCAAGGGCAGCTTCCCCACCTCCCGGCGCAACAGCCTGCAGCGCTCCGAGCCTCCAGGCCCTGGTGAGACTGCGGTTGCCAGGCTCCCCTCTTTCCCAAGTCCCCTTCCCTAGTGATGCAGCTTTCTTGCAGGCCCTGGGGGTCTGCCCTTGCTTTGGCGGGGGACTAGCCCCCCTCTCCCCATGGCCCCTTCCCTCACTCAGTGCTCTCCCTCCCCATCCTGCACCCAGGCATCATACGAAGGAACTCCCTGAGTGGCAGCAGCACCGGCTCCCAGGAGCAGCGGGCAAGCAAGGGGGTGACATTCGCCGGGGATGTTGGCAGGATGGTGAGGGCAGGCCCAAGGGAGGGAGAGCCCAGGGAATGGTAACTGGCTGCAGCTTCGCCCTCCTCCCACGGCAGCGGTCTCTTCAGTGCCTTTTCTTTTCCCTCCAGTGAATTCAGAACAGAAGCCATGTGTTTCCCCTCCACCAGGACCCACTGTGGAGCTCGTGCTCTCAGAATCTGCTGGCCAACACAACTCTGGGAGGAAGACCTCGGCACTGAGGGAGTAGAAGACAAGGGGCATGGGGGGCGGGGGCTGTGGCGTTATAGGGAAGAGCCAAACTCGTGAGAGCTACTTGCTGTGTGTAGAGGTATCAATCCTGCAGCCTACCATCCTCATCCCTGCTACCTCCCCAGCCAAGAGTCAACTACTAAGCAATCCTGCCCAAGTGCAGAGGCTTCCAGAGGGCACACTCCCAGCTGGGCAAGTGGACAGAGTGTTCTCACACCAGAATTAGCAGCAGCCAATAAAAATGCTGGAAACCATCGACTCTAAATTTGTATCTGTCAGGCTTTAAGAATTGCGGGCAAAGGCTTGTGAAATAAGGAAGGGGAGGACTTAGAAGGGACTCTCCTCTCACAGTAGTAGGCAGGGGTACAAGGCAGGGGAGGGTGAGGCCACCTGGTTTCCTGCCAGCAGCTCATGAGGAAACGACACGGTTAATGATCCGCATCCCCAAGCTGAGATCCCATCTAGATCCCACCTTAGGTCTACACAGGCTGGCCCCAGTGGAAGTTACAAAAACGAAAGCCGCTTGTCCCTCCCCCTTCATCGACCTTTCTCTCGAGGGGTGGGAAAGGGGCACTAAAGCTGGAATGGTGTGTTGTTCTTGAGGGCAGAGGACAATGAGTGACCTTTCTCTCCCCTCCCCCCAAGATGTGGTTCAGTCTCAAAGAGCCCAGTGACCCACCACGAGCTCTCCCTTAAATCAGGTGGAAAGATCTCACGGAAAAAGTAATTCTAGTTAAACATTTATGGCTCCCTGGGGCAATGCCACTGCTGCAGCTACTGCCTGTGGAGCTTTTCAGCATGAAGTGTTGGCCCCAACACACTCACCTGACTCCAAGAGAGATTGACTCAGTTTATTCTCAACCTGACCCCGTCTTTCCTCATACATCCAATACTGCACAGAGTTGCCACACCCACTCCCGTTAACAGCCCACTTCTGGTCCTCCTTCCTCTCAGCCCCTGGGAGATGAGGGGCATAAACCGCCAAGTCAGAAAGCCTGGGAAAAGCCAAGGTTGGATACCTTTCAAAAACAAAACAAAACAAAACAAAAAACCTACAAGGGCTCCACTGCCACACACAGTGAGTGTGAGGTGGGCAACGTTCCCTTGACAGCGGCCAAATGCATAAATCCATAGTTTCATGGGCTTAATCATCGTCCAAGGTAAGGTGGCCAGCAATGCTGTGAGCAGGCTTCAACTTTGACAAGGTCACGGGGCATCATCCATCACGTGAAGGGGCTCCAGCAGGTTGGAGATGTGCGATGCCCATCTGGATCAGGGTCCGGATGCCCTTTCCCTTGCTCGGGCTCGAGCAGCTTTGACCTCCTCCTCAAGCTCATCTAGGAAACGCTCCTGGGACACTGAGTAGAAAGTGTAACCATCTGCGGAGGTGCGTTAGGGAAACCACTTGAAATACGCCCATTCCCTTTTCCCAGACTTGCTTCCACACACTTGTTAAGCTCTCACCCTCCCAAGTCAGTGATTTGTTCTTCTGCCCTCTGTTCTTCCGAGCTCTGACCCCAACTCCGTTATTATTAATGAACCACATTAAAAGAGCGCCTTAAAATCACAACGTCATGTGCATTAAACGTTTGACTCAGCGTTAGGTTTTCACAGCTCGGGTTCTTTCTACCACGCCCACACTGCCCTCTTACACGACTCTGCTCCCCTCCTCTTGCCCCCATATGTGGTCTCCCCGAATCCACAGTACAGACGGATACAAATAGCTAACACCACGGCCCCGATGCCCAGGCCGGTCAAGATGTTCCGGGTCCGCCGCTGTGGCAGCGTCTTCTGCCACTGGGCGAGCTGCACCTGCCGCATGAATTGCAGCTGCTCGGGAGTCAGCTTCTCTCGAGTCGGGTCGATGCGCTGGGCCGGAGGGGCCTGTCCACTCTTAGCATTGAGAGGGTCGCCAGCTCCGGGGGCCGCCATATTGCCGCTCCTGTCTGGGAAGTCGAGGGGCGCGGAGTTTGCTGGGAAAAGCAGTCTTTGGCCACCGCAGGGGTCGCTGGGAGCTGTAGTCCACGTTTTTTGTTTTTGTTTTTTTAACCAACCAAGCGGGGCTCTCGGCCTCAGATGGGCGGGGCAGACGGGAAGAGGCCGTGCTTCCTGATTGGCTGAGGGGTTCGCGGCCGTTGGCGCGGGAAAAGACGGCGGAGAGCTCGAGGCTGTGGCGGGACTTGCGTTTTCCTCGGACTCGAGGCGAGGACAAGCACACAAGGCGGGAGAACGAATCCAGAGTGCGGCAGAAGGCAGTGGAGAGAGGCTAAGGGGATCGGTTTACGGACCCAGTGAGCCTTCTGGGTGTCCAGAAAGGTTTCTGAAAATGGACGGACCCGCCAGACCAAGGCTGGCCTCTCCCAGTGAATTTCAGTTTGGAGCTGTTGCTACGGAGACGATCGAAGACGCTCTGCTCCACTTGGCCCAGCAGAATGAGCAGGCAGTGCAGGAGTCTGCGGGATGGATGGGCAGCTTCAGGGAGACCCGGATCGTGGGTGTGAACGCAGGGCCAGGGAGCGGGTTTCGGGGAGCGCCGGGCATCTGTCTTTGAGGCGCCGACCTTGCAATTTAGTTTACTAATTCAGATAAGTTACTGTATGCCAGGTGCTGGGGATACAGTGATGAGCAAGCCACACCAGTGCCCTACCCTCGATTTCCACGTGTGTAAAGATAAAAAGATGGAGCAGGGATCTAGTCCCTGTTTTCAAACCACGTAGATAATCCTTGGAGAATATTAGGGCAAATCTGCAAACGCCGAGGTCCGAGAATGGTTGGATAAGGGACGCACTATATAGAACAAGCCTTCGCGGGGGCTGAAAGGAGTGGTGGAGCGAGGCGGTATCAGGAAGACCCGAAGGAGTCCTGGGGGCACTGTAGCATTTGAAGTAGACCTTGAAGGAAAGATGACATTGTGGTTGGTAAACAAAGGGAACGGAGTCAGCGATTCTAACACAAGTAAAGCTATGGAACCAGGGAAGCTTAGAGTAAATCTCAGCGAATTAGCCAGGGTTGGCCAGGGCGTCTGGTAAAGGAGTTGAAATCAAGATCAGAAAGGTAGTCTGGAGACATTCCACGTGGAACTTTGAATGCCCAGGCGAGGAGTTTTGTATGTGGCTCTGCAGGGACACATGGCATTGCAGGTTCTTTAACGTGGGTGCGAGATGTCTATAACCTTTGCTCTAGAGAGAACATGCTGGCCGTGCTGCGGAGGGTGCACTGCGGTGGAGAGAGGCGGGAGGTGGGTAGGCCAGGAGAGTCTGTGTTAGCAGTTTAGGTAACAGGGCTCCGGGGATTGCAGAGAGGATGGATTCAAACAGTTGCAGAGGTGAAACAGAGGGTTCCACAATGGATGAACATAAGAAGTGAGGAAGGCCAAGATGACTCTGCCAGAGCTGAGCCTAGGGGACTGAGAATATAGTGGTGCCATTAAGGGAAACACCCCCACACATTTGAAAAAAGTAAAACAGGAGGAAGTGCGACCTTTGTTTGCGAACAATAATCGCTTTGGTTTTGAATCTGCTAAGTTTCAGGTGCTTTTATAAAACAGAGGAAGTGTTCTAGCAGGCTGCTTAAAAAATCAGGAGAGAGGTCAGAACTAGAGATAAGGGTTTGGGAATTATCTCCATAATGATACTGTTCGAACTGTGGCAGAGGGGGAACTACTAGAGGGAGAAAAGAGAAGGTCAAGGACAGTTCCTTGGGAAACATTTTGTGTTCAAAAAACGAGTAGGAAGAAGAGTCACAAAGGGAATCAAAGGAGTGGTTTGGGAGATAGGCATCGAACCACGAGGTCTTTGGAAGCCAAGGGAGGGGGGAGTTGCAGAAAGGATGGTGGTCAGCAGTGTTAGACCCTGCAGGGATTTGAACTGCAGGAATGAGGATGGCCAGGGGGCCATGACATTTAACACTGTGGACATATTTACTCGCCTTTGAGACAATCATTTCAACAAGTTGGATAAAGTAGAAGCCAAATTGCAGAACATTAGGAAGCACGTGGTGAAGTGGAAGCAGCAGGTGTAAGCTAGGTTTTCAGGAAATTAGAGAGATAAAGCCCTAGCTTAAGAGGATAGAGGGGGAGGGTCTTTCAGGTCATGGTAGATGGATCTGAGTACGTTTGTAAGTGCAGGAGGTGGGGCCAGCAAGGGAGAGGTGTAACCCTGATCCATTCCACCCTCCCCAAGCTCAGTTTTCTTGGCAAATTAAAATGGAAAGTAGAAACAATTGCCTAGGTAATTCAGACCCAAACCAAACCAAACAACTGTACACACAGAGAGAAAACAAAAAACAAACAAACAAAAAAAGGAAGCTGGAACTCCAACAAATGAAAGGACTGGCTAATAACACAATTATTCTAGGGTATTTTGCTTAGTTGCTTAAACTAATTCTCTTCATTGGACACTGCTTAGCAGAGCTTTATTCAGTCTCTGTAATGATGGGGTTTTGTACATATACCTATGCATGATGTGTGTCAAATAGATTGTTAAATTATCTTGTGCTAGCTTGGCTTCAGATTTTCTTTGAAGACATACTGTAATTTGATTGTATGTAATTCTTCACTGATCAGTGCTAAGTTCCCAGTTCGGCAGCTTCCTTTATCGAGAACTAACATTTACCCTTGTTTCCACCCTCTCATGATATTGCAAACTAAATAAAATTCTATCTGGGGTGGTTCTTTCAAAGAGAAACAGGCAGCCTCAAACCTTGCCAAGGGATCTTGCCCTTCCCACCTTCCCAGTGACCTCCCCACCGCCCAAACTGGGCTGTGTTCCCTGATTTGGAGGATGTCGCTTCAAAACAAGCCACTCCACCGTAACAGGCTTGCTCCTAGGGAGAGGCTCAGCTACCACGCATTCACCCCACAGGCTGGTGGTGGAGAGGTGATGTCCAGCTGTTGGGTGAATCGTGTTTGTAAAGCAATGGGAGCTCTCCAGAGGGTGGTTACTACACAAACAGTTTTATAAAGAATACTGAAGCTCCGGGAGGGACCTTTCTGTTCCTGTCAACATTCCACTGCAAACAGAATATAGGGGATAGGGGTTTTTATTCGTCCAAGAATCTCCCTTGAAGTGGAGGGTTCCCAGCATGGTGCAGAGGCCCATTAGACCAGCTGGTATGTTTGCATGTAGCTGGCTAAGCCTTTTATCAGCTGAGACCGACAGGAAGCCTGCAGGGTCACTGAGGGGGCTTGGTAAGCCCTGGTCTTTGGCACCCTGTCAGCCTCCTTTTCATGCCTCTGATCTGCCCATTGGCACCAAAAGGAGCTAAGCTCAGCTTGGGTTGTTCCAGTCTCATGTTTCTCACCTCCTGACCCCCTCCCCGTACCCCCATCGTGGCTTTTACACAATGCCAAGGGTTCACAGAGTGGTTCTGGTTGCACCTTGTGAATCAGGCTCTTCTTTCCTGTTTTGGCAGAGTTTGTTTTTCTCCTGTCTGAACAATGGTGTCTGGAGAAATCTGTGAGCTACCAGGCTGTAGAAATCCTAGAAAGGTAAAGCCCTGAGCATAAGGCCCTTGTACGTTGTACCTCTCAAAAAAAGGCTAATGCACCCAGGTCTTAAAAAGAAAGAACAGTACTAGCTGGCCCTGTCCATGAGACCCAGTTTTGTACCCTCTATTGCAAATGGAAGTTTATTGCCAGCGATCGTTACTGGAGAGGATACGATGTAGCACACTTTGAAGCAGAAACTCCTTTTAGTTTGAGTGAGTGTGGGTTGTTCAATCTCGCCCTTCCCTGCTTCGTAGGTTTATGGTTAAGCAGGCAGAGAGTATCTGCAGACGAGCCAGAATCCAGCGGAGAGATAAGACCGAAGCTCGGGATTGGAGGGCTCTGAAAGAGCAGCTTTTCAACAAGTTTATCCTGCGTCTTGTGTCATGTGTTCAGCTGGCAAGCAAACTTTCTTTCCACTACAAAGTAAGGAGCTGGGGTGGCTCACGGGCCCCTGAGTGTTAGAGAGAAACCAGCTCATTCAAAGGTGACTGTGAGAAACCCCCTGCTCGGCTAGGTGGTACTACTCACGTGGAAATTCCTGAGTGCAATTATGCTTCCAAAGCATACCCCCCACACACACACACACAGGCGTGCGCATGTGCACACACACAGTCACACAGGGGCAGTTATTAAATAGCCTGAAGTTCTGTTCCCAAAGTATAATTGCTGGACAGATGCCATTATTCACACAGGTCACCTTTTCTCCCCTTGAATTCAAGGACGGTTTAGATAAAATGTCCGAGTTGCCAACATACCTATCAGTATTAAAGGGAAATATTCCATTTATAAAGGATAAAACTTTTCCACATCATTACCCAACGCCTATATAATGAAATATTGTTTGCTCGACAAATATTTATTGTCTTCTACGGCCAGATGCCGCACTAGGCGCCATGGCTGCGACAGTAAATGTATCTGCGCTCCCAAGGAACTGACTGTCCAATGAGAGAAGACGCACAGGCAAACTGTGTGGGAAAGTGCTCTGATTAGCGTGCCTACGGAGGGCTATACACGCACCTCACCGGCCTTGGGGAGTCAAGGACGTGTATTTGGAGAAAATGACTCCTTGAAAGGAGAAGGGGGGTGAGAGGTGGGCTGACCCCAAGGGAGGAGGGAGCCGGGTAAAGGAGAGCAGGGAGAAAGAAGGGGGAGAAGGGAGAGACCCAGACACAGGCGACAGCATGTGCAGAGGCCTGGAGACCCTGGTGGGTCTGGGAGAGGCACGCTCGCTGTGGCGAGCACTGCGCAGAAGGGGCGCCACCAAAAGAGGACGAGGCGAAGGCCTGGGCTGGACTGGCAGGGCCTTGTATACTGCGCCGAGGTGTGCGGTCCTCACTATGACACGCGTTCCCCCCCTCCCTGTTTCGTTTCCCTCCGCTCAGATCATCAGCAACATCACGGTCCTGAATTTCCTCCAGGCCCTAGGGTATCTGCACACTAAAGAGGAGCTGCTGGAGTCGGAGCTGGATGTTTTGAAGTCCCTGAACTTCCAAATCAATCTGCCTACCCCGCTGGCGTATGTGGAGATGCTCCTGGAGGTTCTAGGTACTGGAGTGTGCCGGGGACCGTGGGTCGGAGTCCTCTGCAGGAGACAGTGGGAATATACCCAGGGACCCGGGGGCAGTGGGCAGAACCCGCCAGTGAGAAGCAGAAGGAAGCCTGTAGTGGCCGAGGAAAGTGCTCTCTCTGGCACTTGTCAGGGAAAGAAATGTAGGTCTCAGCACCTGGCTTGTTTGAACTCACTAGGTCCCCTCACTGGCTCAAAGAGTTCATTTATCGAGAGGCATGAGATATGAGGAAAAATAATAAATATTCTCTGATTGTATATGGAGATTTCTCTACCTTCCCCTTTGTCCTTTGACACTGACCTCCCGTTAAAGAGGTTTCTTCCAGTAAAGCAATCAGGAGGCACATTAGCAGCTCAACAGTTTTGTGTCACATTAACAACTGTGATTATGACCAGAAAAGACCCGCATGGTGCTCTCTGCCATGCCTGCACTCCATCTAGGATACAACGGCTGCCTGGTCCCAGCCACGCAGCTGCATGCCACCTGCCTGACCCTGCTGGACCTGGTCTATCTTCTGCACGAACCCGTGTATGAGAGTCTGCTGAGGGCCTCGATCGAGAACTCCACACCCAGTCAGCTGCAAGGGTAAGGCAACTCCCTTCGTGCAGGCTCCTTCCAGAAACAGGCAGTCCAGAATGTAGCGTGAGAACGTGGCACACGGAACTGACCGGGCAAGGCATCCAGCCCACAGGCCACCTGCACAGGTTGTCTGGTTCAGGTGAACATCCGGTATGTTGCTTGGATGCAGATGACTGAGCCCCATCAGCAAAACCCTCAATGCTTTTACTTTTAAATTTAAATGACTTCAAGTAATTATTTCCTAGTTTTCTTTAGAGCTGTTTATAATTTGAGATTACTGGACTGTTTTTGTAGTCACTTGGGAAAAAAAGCCAGTCACAAGGTTGCAACTTGGACAAAAGTGTTTGATTACTGTAAAGTCAGAACAGTAAAAAGCCTCCCAGTTACATTTGTCAGGGAGACAGGCGGGGCAACAAAAGGCCCAGAAACCATTCAGACAGGAGGCTCATGTTTTAATCCCAGCTGATTTGGGGGGTGTGTGGGGGGGGGAGGGGCTGGGAGAGGTGTAAATTAGCTATTACTTGACTTTTTCTTTCCATGTCTAAAAATTCCAAAAGGATCAACATAAACAACTGCATATAACCAAAGACACTGAAATAGAGAACAGTCTGACAGTGTTCAGAGGGGAGAGGAGAGGGAATTTCAGGGGAATTTCAGGGGAAAAGGGGAGGGGTTTACAGGAAGATGTATAAAGGACACGTGGATAAAAACTAGGGGTGGGTGGAAGTGGGAGGGAGGAGGGGAGGGCTGGGTGGGTGGGTTGGGATGGGAGTAAAAGACAGAAAATTGTACTGCAACAACAATTAAAATAAAAAATATTTTTAAAAGATGGAAAGCATAAGGAATATACTCAGTAGTATTGTAATAACAACCATGTATGGCGCCAAGTAAGTACCTAATATATCGAGGAATCACTATGTAAAGTAAATGATGATCTAACCACAATGCTGTACACCTGAAACTAATTCAAAACAATGTCAAATGCAAACTGTAATTGAAAAATAAAAATTTTTAAAGTATATATAAAAAAAAACAATTGCAGTTCCATGACCCTAAGATTTGGAAGATCGCATTTCACCCTGGCTCCAAAATTAATCATGGTTTCGCTCGTTCAGGGAGAAGTTCGTTTCCGTGAAGGAGGACTTCATGCTACTGGCAGTAGGCGTCATCGCAGCAAGCGCGTTCATCCAAAACCACGGGTGTTGGAGCCAGGTACGTGCCGCCGCACAGGCGCAGCGCGGTCGGAGTGCACTTAGTAGCAAGCATTCTCCCACGAGTGAAAGGAAAACAAAAGACAACCTATGAAAGACAGGTGCTGAGACCCAGGATTACGATGAACGAGCAGGATATGGGAGAGGGAAACAACTAACTTACGACTGAAAAATGTTCTCCGGTTTTCCTCTTATGAAATTGGAAATGGAGGTCCAAGTTCAGTTTGTTCATTTCCTTTTATTGGCCTTCACCACAATCCGCTAACCAGTAATCTGCTCTCATGTTCAAGTCCAATAAATATATCCTCCCAAACGGAGAAAATGTCAAGGCTCGAATATCCCTCTCACATTGCACAAAACTTATCTCCAGCCGAGTGAAACGTCTAGCGGAAACTTTCCACACTAACGCCATCAGGGCGAAGGTATCCTAACGTTATCTGGCTGCTGGCAAACACCCGGGTCTGGGGTTGGTCTTCTCAGGAAGTCCAGAGAAAGGGAAGAATTTATAGAGGGCTTGCGGGAACAGCCCGAGCGGTGTGCCTGCGCACCGACACGTGACGCGATGCTTTGGCAATAACAACCCTGTCTCTGTTCCCGAAGGTGGTGGGGCATCTGCAGAGCATCACTGGCATCGCCCTGGAGAGCATCACCGCCTTCTCTTACGCAATCCTGACCCACAGCGTGGGAGCCAGCACGCCGGGGCGACCGCGGCCCATGCCTCCCCACCTGGTGGCCAGAGCCCCGAGGGCCGCCGCTTCCTCTAACACGTGAGACAGACGCAATCTGCCCAACACAAACGCCCTCCCGTCACCGCACTCATCTCTCCCTTTGTTGACTTTAATGCTCAGGGCACAAAAGTTTCAAGTATCTTTTGAACCGTTTTGTATTCCAACTTTATGCTTATTTTTCTGCATTGCAGAGTTAAGGTGGACAAGCATGCCCTTTTTGTCGTATCAGACTGAAAACATAAAAAGCTGGGAGAGAGAGAAATATTAGTGAAGTTGACTCACTTTTATTTAACAAGATATTTATGCCTTTTCTTTAATTGTACATTTCATTACGAGAGAACACAGACATGAAGACTAGTGTTAACCAGGGGCTCAAAAACTGAGACCATCTGGGTGACCTTGACTGAGCAAGAAGGCAGTCTCCACTTCCCGTAGTTTATCATCTCTGTTCTGTTACGGAGATCTACACAAACAGGGCTTTCTCCACAGTTATTTCCACTGGTCTTTTTTTTTAAGACTTTATTTATTTTTAGAAAGAAGGGAAGCAGGTGGAGAGGGAGAGAAACAGTGATGTGAGACAGACACATCCATCGGTTGCCTCTCAACCAGGGACTGACCCCGCAAACCAGGCCCGTGCCCCGACTGGGAATCCGACCAGCAACCTTTCGCCTTGCGGGCCGCCGCCCCACCAGGCCACGCCAGTCAGGGCCCCGTTAGTGTTTATAAAAAGTAACACTAACCCATTTCAACAGAATTTCCACATACCTGCCCTTGAGAGCTCAGTTCTCCCAAAATACAAAGCACTCTCTTTTAGTTCAGGAAAAACCCAACAGTGCGCCTTGGGCAGTTATCAGACTGCGGCAAATCTTTTATTACGAATAATTAAATCTCTGCACAATGGCCCGAACGGGATCAGACACCATTGCATACCGCCAACACGGAGCGGAGCAGGCATTCGGCACCAGCACCACCGAGGGAGACGTGTTGGATTTCAGGCTCCTGATCACATCACGTGGCGACCAAAGCTTGTGTGCCCTTTTCTCACGTTATCCAACCGTGCGTCTCGCACATCCCGTCGTCTCAGTGGAGACAAAAGTTCCTATTTAATGTTGTTTAAGTGCAGGAAGTTGAGAGAGATCAAATCCACTGAAAAACACATCAATCTCAATTCAACTCAGTTGAAAAAAAAAAAAACAAAAACAAGCAAACTTAAATTAGTTGTTTTAAGGGGAGACAGGGAAAGAAAGGCCTGGGGTTAAGAGTCCAAACTGCAGCAGAGGCTGGGAGCTGTGTGTGGCGTGTCCGGCTCTGGAAACTCATTGTCACGTGGTATTATTGTAAAGTGGCTTATGAAGATTTTTTTTTTCTTTTTTTGGCATTGTAAACATGTGCTGTTTAACAGTACCCGAATTTAATTTAAAAACTTTTCCTAAACAAAACAAAATTTAAAGCCTTTAAGGCAAACATCCCCCTCAGGAAAAAAGAAAGTCATTTATTATAAAACTGTGAGGACACCCAAGCCAGACCCCACTTAAGATTCGTCAGCATGAACTTGAGAGCTTTTGTCCACTGTTCCTCGGAGTTAAACTGGGTTTTGATGGAGTAGGAGCCGCCGCTGCCTCCCGTGTCTTCGATCTTGCCCTTTTCCACATCCATCCTGCAGACGGACACAGCAGAGCTCACTGGTAACTGAGATCCGAGTTAAGTCAGCTCAGGCAAATGGGCAGAGACCGAATCATGGGACCATTCACGTCATTTTATCTGTTAAAGAACTCTTGGCGAGGAACGGTAGTGTATTTTGGATTTGCTTGAAAGCCAAAAACCAAGAAGGCTGTCACAAGAGCCTCATTGTCATCGTGGAGTGCAGGGACAGCACACGCACCCAAGCAGATGACAAGCCCGGAGCACAGGGCGGGTGAGGGTTACAGCGCTCCGCACTGTGTCCCTGGGCATCCCTGGACTAATGGGCGGGGTGGGGGGGGGGTGGCGGAAGAAAAGAAAGGCTTTGTTTTGGGGTGACAGAAGCAGCTCGACCTTCCTCTCCCGAACTAAGGTCTCCATCACGGGGCTTCTACACAGTTCAACCAAAGGAAGCATCCCCGTGTATTTCCACGGGCTCGGGGGGACACCTTCCTGAGCCTGGAGAGTGGCCTCGAGTGCTGTGCCAAGAAAACCCCCCAAACCATCTGAGACAACCTTCGTTTTCCCCAGGGGCCGGTGGTCCCGTCCTGTCCTACGTGCAGTGTTGATCAGTCTCTGCCCACCAATGTCATGTGATTTCCCACCACGTTCCCACCATGTATTCCATGTGCGGCCTCCATTCTTACTGTCCCTTCAGTTCTGCTCCATCTGGCCCTACTCTGGGTTCGCTGGGCACGGGGGGGTGGGGGTGGGTACTGACCTGTAGGGAAGACAAAAACGCGTCTCGCCTTTCTCCACTTCTTCTTTGAACTGCTGCACGCAGTCCAGGAACGCCACCATCGCGTGGTCAAACTTGTTGTCCCAGAAAAACCGCAACCCCCCGGAACAGTACAACGGCAGCTCCTGCTCGGGGGGGAGGGAACGGGCTGTGCGCGCGGCACTGAGACGCACGCCTAGCAGAGAGCACGCGCAACCGCCCCATCTTCCAAGTCACGTTCCCTCCGTGTCCCACCGCACACTGCCACCCTGGGCGGGCGACAGTGCACCCAGGCCTGCTTTCCTAGCGACGGAGAGGTGCTGAACATCCACCTCACAGCGACCCCTTCCCCGCCCAAGCGCGCACACTCTCCTCTGATCTGCCCGCGCCCCTTCCCCAAAGACTGTGAAGAAGTAATTTCTCCTGTAGGCCTCCAAGTGCCTACTCCTGCCTGACCTGGGCAAGACACTGGCCCTTCCTGAGAGATCTCAGGCTAAGAAGGACACTGACTAAGGCCGTTATCAAACATCAGCTGTCCTGTTAGGAGGCACGAGAATTTTGTATTCCAGCGAAGATGGAGCTCCCCAGAGTACCTTAGACTTGTCTGTCAGAGACTCCAGGTACGAGTGGTTGCCATAGGGAACGAGTCGATACCTGAAAAGGAGATGCGGGCAGAGATGGAGACGGACGCCTCCCACGGTGAGGCCCGACTCGGAACCCAGCGGTCTGCAGGCTTCCCCCTGCCTCTCCCATTGCTCCCACCCCCTACCCACCTCCCCACAGGCCCCTTGTTCAAGATTCTGCTTACAGAACCAAGTACATTTACTACGCAATTGTCTAGGGGCCTCTGTGGATGAATACATGTTTTGGTTTAGATTTAAGAACAAAAACTGAAAGTAGCTTGGGGAACACTGAAGCTCTGGGGACAGATGGTGGGCTGGGGACCACGGCCAGGGTCGTGCACGCCGGGGGCTGCTTATCAGCAGAAAGAGCCCGACGTGAGGGGAGAACCAGAAGCGGACACTCCAGAGAGGAAACTCCCAGTCTGTCGGGGCAAGGGTTCCAGCCAGAGTGGAAAGCAATGTGGGGATGGAGATAAAAATTGTATCAAAGACACACCACACCCCAAGAAAGGCTACATTTCTTACCTCTGAAATTTCAGCCCCATCTTATTGGCCAGCGCATGGAGCAGCAACACCGTTTGGCCCCAGGCAGCGTTGATCTCATTCCATTCCACAGGAACGCTGGGCAAGCGACCCAGTCTGAAGTTATTGATTGTGCCGAACTGCCCACTGTGCCTACAGAAGACGGCCAAGGGCCAGGAAAAACACAGGCAGAAATTAAAACTTAGCAACTTCTGGGACTTCCTGCTGTCCCCTAAGGCCTACTAGCATAAATCCCTCTCCTTATCTCCAGGCCCATATACCTACTTAGGATTTTAAACCCACGTCTGACACACGAGTCGTTGTCCTTCCCCCTGCCGCTCAGACGCCAAAGCAGAAACCTGGGCATCACCCTCGGACGCGCTCTCTCGGCTCCCTCCCTGCAGACAAGCACCAGGCTCTGTTCATTCCACCTCCTAAATCTCTTCTGTCTATCCACTCCTGCCCCAACTCAACCCACTCCTCTCTCTTCCTGCTGACACTCCTGCTAACAAGTCCCCCCACCAAACACACTGCCCTCTTCCCTCAAGTCGTGTCCCACGCTGCAGGTAAAGCCGCCACCAGTGGGAACCTAGTTACTCGCTTCCCTGCCCAGAGTGCTCCAGGGGCCCCCACTGCCTTCTGGGTAAAGTCCGAATCCCTTGGTGACACCTACAAGGTCCTGTGGAGACTGGTGACTCTCCAGGTTCAGATCCGGTCACTCTCCCCTTCACACTTAATCCCTAGTCATGGTAAGCTCCTTTCCGTTCTCTGAACCCACACTCCCACCTCCCCATTTCTCCGCACGTGCCATTCCCTCGGCCGGGGACAAGCCCCCTGCTCTGCAGACTGCTACCTCACATCTCGGCTTGAACACCAACGCCCCCTGAGGGGAAATCTCCACGCGGCCTCCCCGCACGGGGCAGAGTGCCCTTCTGGGTTCCCACAGCACCCAGGGAAGCCGTTATCACGCTGTGTTACATCTGCCTATTCCTTAACCATCTCTTCCATGAGAGTAGAAGCAACTAGAACGTAGAATATCTGTTTGCTGTTGCCACCCTAGTGCTTAGAATAGCACCTACCACACAGTAGATGCTCAACAGTTACTGGTTACACGGACAAAGTGTCAAGTAAATTAACAGATGAATGACCCCCCTCCGGCTCCAGGCACAGGACCAGAATTCCAGGTGGCTAGAGGGCTCGGACTTCCCCTCTCCTTGGAAAGGTGTACGGCACTACGCTCTAGAATCCCGTGAACGTGCACCGCCCAGGGCAAGGAATGGAGGAAACCCAGATGGGGTGAAAATGATACACAGTCCCATTTTGGGGGAGGTGGGCACCCTGGCTTCGTGTTCAACAGCTAAAATCCAGGTAGTGCTTCCCAGACGCTCCTCGTCCCCCAGCTCTCATTACCAAATGTGGAAGGTGGCATTAAAGACGTTGGTTTTCTTCAGCTTGTCCAGCTGCATCTGGGCGTAGCGCATCTGGTTTTCTACACTCTTCAGCTCATCATCCAGTTCCAGCTGCTGTCGTTTAAACTCACTGTATTCTCTCTGATACCTGCGGGCAGCCAAGACGGCCATTGAAGGCTGTGAGTTTGGGGGCTAACATTTCTGTTATTGCCCCTCGTAACAGTTTACTCTCAATGACTGTTGTTACATCTAGTTACAGCGCATTTTAGGTCTGTCACAGATCCCCCTCGAAGGAACATACTTGCTCCAGTGGTTTTGCCCGGGAGGGATAGGAATGCCTCAAATTCCAGCTGCCCGTATGCAAAAGGGGGAGGTAAAAAGGCCTCTCCAAACCAGTGTCAAACACCTCTTGGATGTCTGACCTTGCCCAGAATCAAGGGGAGTGGGTCGAGAGAGGCTTCTTCCATGGACTGGCCACAACTGACCTTCTATAACTTCACCTCTATATACTCACTGTCCTTTAAATAGTTAATCAACATCATTTCCAATGGGACTTGTCACACTGCTCCGTGAAAAATTAACTTTTTGTTCTGTCCTTCACTTCCCCTATTTCAGTTAATGTGGACACTGTGTCTCCCCAAATAGACAGAGGGTTCTCTCAGGTCAAGAGAACCGATGAGATTTTTGAGCTGAGAAAGAACAAATGTGGGCCGACATGCTCCTCCTTCCAGAGGAAAAGGCTGGGTGCAGCGCTGACTCACCCAAGTGAGCCGGGTGCCCTCCTGCACAGAGTTATGGCTCCGGCCCTGCCTCTCTGCTCTCTACTTAATCAATATACTTCTTTCACTTGGTCATGCCGATCCTTCATATGTAACCCTTCGGACAAACCCCTAGAAACAGGGCCAGGAAACAACATGCAGGATCCAGAGCAAACCCGCTGCAGACCGACAGCTGACTGCAGCTCACACACTGACCAAACACGTTTATCTGGAAGCCGTGTCCCCTCCCGGAGCTTTGAGGGCCGGAAAATGGAAGAACAGGGTGATCACTCACTGGGCTTCCTCCTGATCCAGTCTCTCGGCCTCGGCCTGGACCTCCTCGAGGTTTTCTGCCACTATCTTACGGTTCTTTTCCACATCTTCCAGCTCCTGAATGAGCCTCTCCTCCTCTAATGCCAGCTCCTTCAGTTCCATCTGTAGCTGTTCACTGTCATCCTCGTTCATTTGCTCCAAGATCTCCAGACAGCGCCTGCCAGGGACACAGGGAGCTTACCGGAGGGAACCTGTTACTCTGTTCACCTGAGTGGAGCACAGCCCTCGGGCAAGGGCCGGGCGCTCTCGGAACAGTGACAGCTCTAAGCCCCGGACATCAGTTTGTGGGCCCTGGCTCTGGAGACACTCACTTGTAGTTCTGACACTCATTTTCGGTGACGTTGAGCTGAGTGTCCAGCTGGTCTAAAAGGGTGTCTGTGCATTCCTCACACAGCGGGTGATCCACATCTGTCTGGCCTGACATGATGTCAAAAAGGTCCCCAGTGACCTGGAAGTGCGGGAGAGTCAGGGTAGGGCCGGCCCCTTGCCACCCGCCCAGGCACCCCCCTCTACCAGCCACGCCCCCTGCTTGATGCTGGAATGAGGTCGACTTGCCTTCAGTCTTCGGCTGAGGTTCTCCATGGTTCCCCCATCGGATGCCTCCCCGATCAGAGTGAAGCTGTTGGCACTTTCTGTAGACATCATCCTGCAGACAGCCCCCCGCCCACGGGCCACATGAGGGAGCAGAGAGGCCTCTTCCACCTACTGCGGCGCCAGTGGCAGAGGCTCTCAAGCGCCAGCTGAGGGGCCTCAAGGTGCATACCCACTCCTAGCCCGCCTGACCTCCCAGGGTACCTCTGTCCCAAGGGGAGGCCATGCTGGTGTTGCACAGGGGGCACTCAGCACGAAGGTTGGCCTGGATGGACTAAGGAGGGAGAGGGGGCATCAAAAACGGGCATATATGTGTCTAAAATAGAAAAGGGAGGAGAATCTGGAAAGACCATTTTTTAATATTACACCCCTTGCCAGCCGTCTTCACATGTATCAATAACGAAGAACCTGAATGTCTAACATTTGTTAGAAAAGTTTAAAAGTATTTAAACTTTTCAGGAGCCCATTTCTCTCATTAGTTGATCGCTCCTTTGACTTTTCTCAATTCTTTCCCACGAGAGCTACCATCTCTTCCTATGTGTGAACGGTTACAGGAAAAACTCAATCAGTACTGGAAGGGGATGGGCCAGGTATAAGGGAATGCATCTTTTCTGGAAGAGCCAAAAGGCTAGGTAACAATTCATCTCTATCACCTGGCCCCAGGTCCCAATTCTGAGTTCAATTAAAATTCAACTAATCTTTGGCAAGGAGCAGGGGCTAAGGAGCAGTAGGCACCTGGCTGGGGGGATGAATCTGCGAGAGACACCATCCTGGCGAGTTTCAATAAATGGCTCCTGGGAAGGAAATAAGAGCCCGTTAGAATTCTGACAGCTCAGAGGTGGAGTCTATTTCCCAAACAGCCTCAGAACTATTTGGCTTTACCCTTGACTAATAAGCACAAGACTTCATAAACCACAGAGACTGAACAAATGGGTATTATCTGGCCAATCCCTGGATACTAAGAAATGACCCCTAGTACAGACACACCCCAAGTTCCATTTGATTTTTTGTGGGGCACATCATTCCCTATGTTTTACTCAATTATATAATAATTACATATGCATTTTCTCACTTCCTAGTCAGGGGTAGGGGTGAGACATCCTAAATATCATGGCACAAGAAAAAAGCCAGATCAAACAAGTTTGCCATGGCATAGAAAAGAGTAGGTAATTGACATGTTTTCTTCATAATTTAATGTGATGAAAAATGTATGACATCTCTCTTTGGCAATGAATTGATCACTGAAGTTTTCACAGTTTAAAAATTACATGTTCTCCAACACTCACAATCCTTCTGGCTACAGTAATCACAGAATTCATTGTCCAAACCAAGATACTTTTGAGAATGGAGAGAAGCGGATATTAATAATTACCTAGGACAACAGATGTAAACCAGGAATGCCTGAATGTGCACCTGTAAACCTGAATGCTCCTACCTTATAGTGGCTTATAATTCTGCTTCAAATAAAGAACCTCTCTCCACATTTTTGAAGGGACACTTCATTCAGTGACCCTGTGACCTGAGGCGTGCTTCCGTACCCCCAGTGATCCGCAGTGGCCTGCTCAAGTAGAGCATCTCTTGTTAACCTGAGATTCCAGAAGTCTGTGGCTCCAGAAGCACCAAGTACCCTGCAGAAACCCGCTTTGCATTCGGTGTTTCCTACCTCTCCCGAGTTAGCCTCTTCCTCCTGGGTCTCTCCTGATTTCACCTGGGCTGTGGCAAGTAACGGCGCTAAGGGCAAGAAAAACATCGAGTTAAAAGAATCTTGTTCAGAACAAAACAGTCCCATTAAAGCAGGAGTGGGTATGAAAGTAATGGAAAAAGAATTGGAAATATCCTCTTCACCACCCCCACCTTTTTCTTAAAATTACCATTTATGCAAAGAAGAATCCCTTGCTTTCTTCCCTTACCCCCATTAAGATTAAGGAGGTGTTAAGTTTTTTCCAGGATAATAATATCATAGTTATGTTTTTAAAGGCATCTTATCTTTCAAAAATCATAACCAAAATGTTTACAGTATTTGTTTGGGATTCGCTTCAAAATAATTTGGGGTTGGAGGGGAATAGATGGGGTTGCAGATACAACATGGCTAAATATGCATTAATAATTATAGAAGCTAGGTGATTGGTACACGGGGTTCACTGTACACTCTGAAGTTTTCCATAACCAAAGTAGAATGCAAGTGACTGAGTGGGGATGGGAGGTGAGTGAAGGTACAGAGAACACGGGAATGAGAGAACGCAGCTAGTTAAAAACTAGGGACCTTTCTTTGCTGCTACAGAACGCTCTCCGAAGCACACTGTATCAGAACTGCTTTGTATTCTGGAGGGGCACACGGGCAGCCAGAGAGATGGACTTTCCTGGGTTTACACGGGAATCTGTGGCAAACTACACGGATAGACACTTCAAGACCTACATCTCCAAAGCTGCCCACTTTCAATAATTTTGACCACCCTCTTTGCAAGGGTCTCGCTGACCTGTGAGCTCCTGGATGGTGACACGGTCCAGGATCTTGAAGCTCGTGTCCAGTTTTAGGGGCTGGCTGCAGCGCTGGCACACGAAGCTCACCTGCATGGTGTTGCTGGACGTCTTAGATCCCTCCATTCCTACGGCGATGGAGAGGCGATGATAGGAAGAATTGACGCCCTTGAACCCCGGTTGCGGGGCTACCACCAGCTTTGCTGGTGTTGTAAAGTGGGGAAATCCCGCCCGCGCCGTTCCCTCCAGGAACAGTACGATATCAAAAGGACCTGCTTCCGGGGCAGCCCCGCCAAAGGCAGTTTACAGCCAGGTAAACTGGGGGGAGGAGGGGCTGCAATAGGGGCCGTCAGGGTTCCCAGGCTCCCTTCTAAGGTCGCGCGGTTCAGCCCTCGACGTTCTTCACCTCGGGGCCCGGGGCCCGCCACCCTGGTCCAGTCTACCGCGGGGGCACCGTGGCCTCGGTTCTGCGCCAGAGCGAGGCCTCCAGAACTGCCATCGCCCAGCCTTCAGCTACTTCCCGGTCGGCGGAGAACTTCCGCCCTGACCGGACGTGACCTCACGACGGCTGCGGCTGCAGGCGGAGCCAATACGGTCGGTCCGGGTTCACCAGCTTTCGGGCGCGGGCTGCGGCCCCTAGAGGCTGAGCGGGGCGTCGGCGGGTAGGCGGAGGTTGCGAGAAGTGGAGGACTGAGTTGGGAGAGAATAAGGTTTTGCCATTCTGTAATCCAGTGACTTTCCTTCAGATTTGTCACTTTTGAGTGGAACCACTTTAATTCCTTCTGCAGTATCAGTTTTAAAAGTTTCTCCTTGGGAGAGCTGGGCTTTCTTTCTTTTTTTTAAAGATTTTATTTATTTATTTTTTAGAGAGGGAAGGGAGGGAGAGAGAGAGAGAGAAATATCAATGTACGATTGCTGGGGGCCATGGCCTGCAACCCAGGCATGTGCCCTGACTGGGAATCAAACCTGCGACACTTAAGTTCGCAGCCCGCGCTCAATCCACTGAGCTACGCCAGCCAGGGCGAGCTGGGCTTTCTTTCAAACGCCCTGAGAGAGTGGTAGACACACTTGGAGGGGAAGTAACCTTTGTGTTTTATTTTATATTATAAAATTTCAATTATTAGGGAAAGTCGAGCACTTCAGATTTTGAAACGTATAAAGATATGCAGGAATGGAGAGATCAATGAAACAAGATAGAGTTCAAAAAATAGACCAAATACACAAGGGGATTTAGTATGTGATGTAGTATTTCAAATCAGTGGGGGAATGAACTACTTAGAAAGTGATAAATGGGGCCAAAGAGCCATATAGATGGTGGTGACTTTCCTATTATTTTAAATGTAGATGATACCAGACTTACTCCAATTCACTCCCTCTGAGCTCCAGCACTGGGGTAGCAGCTTGAAAGGCACCAGTGGCATACAGGGAGGAACTGAAGTGTCTGGCTTAAGGCGGGAGGTGGAGGACAGTTTTCCCCCAGACAGAAAGGTGGGCAGAGGCCGTTGTCCCTTTCCTGAGCCCTGCCCCCAAGAGAGCCAGTGGGCTGGTGCCGTACCTGACACTCCATCAACCTGGCTAATACCGTCTGCCTCAGGCTGGAGATCCCCAGAGACTCAGTCTCACCCAACTTACCCACCCAAGCTGCTTTTCCATATGAATGGTTGGTCTTAGCTCCTGCTTCACAACTTCCTAAATCCTTTCAAGCAAGCAACAGCTGGCCTCAGTGAGCCCCAGGCCCAGCACTAGCAGCTGCCAGCCTAGATTCAGCAGCTTGGCATCACCTGGGAATCTCCAAGCCCAGCACAAGTAGCAACCATCTCAGATAGCTTTATAGCTCAGGCAGGTGGCCTCAGGCAGAATACAGGAGGGGGATGGACCTTGGCCTGCACCACCTGGGAAACCCCAAGGCCAGCGCACCCAGTGGACAGCTACAGACCATGTCAGAGCACCACCACCCTGTCCCTTCACAGTTGCTTTTCCATGGAGGGCGGAGGTTGGTGGTTAATGATCACAGCCAGTCCTTACAGCTGATTGGCCTAGGTAAATCCCTCCCATTGACCTGCCAACAGCAACCAAGGCTTAACTACAAGAGAAGGGTGTACTCAGCCCACACTAAGGGTGTACCTTGAGTACCTAGCTTGGATGATAGGGGAGGCTGTGCCACTGTACCCTACAGAACACCTACTATATTAGGGTGTGCTACCAAGACAGGGAGTTATAGCAGCTCTCCTAACATATAGAAACAAACACAGGGAGGCTGCCAAAATGAGGAGACAAAGAAACACGGCCCAAATGAAAGAAGATCAATACTCCAGAAAAATAACTTTAAAAAATTGAGATAAGCAATCTAGCAGATGCAGAGTTCAAAACATTGGTGATAAGGATGCTCAAGGAACTTAGTGAGGGCCTCAGCAGCATGAAAAAGATCCAGTCAGAAATGAAGGGCACACTAATCAAAATAAAGAACAATTTACAGGGAAACAACAGTAGAGTGGATGAAGCTGAGAGTTAAATCAATGATATGGAACATAAGGAAGCAAAAAGCAAACAATCAGAACAAGAAGAACAAAGACTCAAAAAAAAATCAAGGCTAGTGCAAGCAGCCTCTGGGACAACTTCAAGCATTCCAACATTTGCATTATAGAGATGCCAGAAGGAGAAGAGAAAGAGAAAGAAACTGGAAATCTATTTGAAAAAATAATGAAAGAAAACTTCCCTAATTTGGTGAAGGAAATAGACATTCAAGACCAGGAAGCAGAGAGAGTCCCAAACAAGATGGATGCAAAGAGGCCCAATCTAAGACACATCATGACTAAAATGCCAAAGATTAAAGATAAAGAGAGAAACTTAAAAATAGCAAGAGCAAGGCAGTTAGTTTCCTATAGGAGAGTTCCCACAAGACTGTCAGCTGATTTTTCAAAAGAAACTGCAGGCTAGAAGGGATTGGCAAGAAATATTCAAAGACATGAAAAGCAGGGACCTATAACCAAGATTGCTGTACCCAGCAAAGCTATCGTTTAGAATCAAAGGGCAGATAAAGAGCTTCCCAGGCAAGAAAAAACTAAAGGAGTTCATCATCATCAAACCATTATTATATGAAATGTTAAAGGAACTTATGTAAGAAAAAGTAGATCAAACCTATGAACAATAAAATGGCAATAAATACGTATCTATCAACAATTGAATATAAAAAACTGCAAACAAGAGACAGAATCATGGATGTGGAAGCATTTTGATGGTTGCCAGATGAGAGGGCGACGGGGGAGAATGGGTGAAGAGGTGAGGGGATGATGAAGTACCGACAGGTAGTCACAGAATAGTCGTGGGGATGTACAATACAGTATAGGAAGTGCAGTAGCCAACGAACTTATACACATAACCCACAGACATGAATAATGATGCAGAGATTGCCTGAGGGAGTGGGGGGCCACTGGGTGGAGGGAGATGCAGGAGGAAAAATTGGGACAACTGTAATAGCACAATCAATAGAATATAATTAAAAAGTACATGTAGGTCATCCTCCTATAATTAGTACTAGATAGACTATATGGAACTAGATTGATTTTCTCCTGTATTTCCTCTTGGCTCTTCCAGCATGAGTCTCCTTCTAGAGTTGGTGAGGGGAATCATTCCCAAAGAATTGTCACCTAGGCGGGTTGACAGTCTTGTGTCTCTTCCTGCTTGGCTACCACTAATACGGTCTCAGAAAGGCATAGAGGTGTAATGGGCTTCCAGAGGGGTGGGGCGTATAGAGATTACAACTGAGGGTTTGAAAATCTAGACTGCCCCGGTTCAAAACCTATCTTTGTCAACACTGACCTTGAGCAAGTTATTCAAGTACTCTGTGGCTTGTTTTCTCGTTTGTGAAGTGAGGGCATGACAGTGTATGTCACATACGCTAGTGTCATGACTAAGTGATCTAGTAACATGAAGTACAAAGGGCAGTGCCTGGCACACAGTGAACTCTGTGTGCCCTGCTGCTTGGAGAACATATGGCAGTATGTATAGCGCTTGAGGGATTGTGGCTGCTCAGGAATGTAGCCCATGTCACCAGTTCGACAAATGTTTACCGATCACCTACTATGTACCAATCACCCTTCTAGGTCTAGGAGGATATATTGGTGAGCTGTTCTAATAGTTTATATTCTAGAGGAGAGAATTGGATAAGAAACATTTAAACAAATGAATAAGATGCTTTCAGAGAGTGGTAGGCGTTCCGGGTTGAACTGTGTTCCCCCAAGAGATGTTGAAGTCCTCACCCCTGTGAACGTGATCTTACTTGCAAACAGGCTCTTTGCAGATGACCAAGTTAGTGGAGTCGTTAGGGTGGGCCCTCACCCACCATGACTGGTGTTATCACAGGAAGGGGCAATTTGGGCACAACGATGGTTATGAACAGCGGGATGCCGTGTGAAGAGACACACAGAGACGACAGTTGTCTCCAAGCCAAGGAATACCGGAGGCTTCCAGGAGCTACCAGTGAGGCCTGGAACAGGTGCTTCCTTTGTAGAAAGGAAGGTTCTTTCTTCTCCGTGTTCTCTCCTCAGAGGGAGCACGGTCCGCCCACTCTGCTTGCAGACTCCCAGCCCCCAGAACTGTGTGGCAATCCATTGCTCTTGTTCTAAGCCACCCGCTTTGTGGTATTTTGTTAGAGCAACAAACCAACACAGTGGGCATGATGAGGAACATAACAGAGGATGATGTGATAGAGAATAAGTGGGGCCAAGGGTGGGCGAAGCTACTTCGGCTGGGGGATACCTGGGAAGCCACTGAGGATGATAAACAGGGAAGAGAGATGATCTGGCTGACTTAAAAAAAAAAAAAAAAACAACTAACAGAGGACAGGCTGACAGTGACCAGAGGGGAGAGAAGAGGGAATTTTAGGGGAGACTGGGAAGGGTTTACAGAAACAAATTTAAAGGACACAGGGACAAAAACTAGAGGGGGGTGGTAATGGGAGGGAATTGGGGAGGGTTGGGTGGGTGGGCTGGATTGGAGTAAAAGGGAGAAAACTGTACTTGAACAATGATTTAAAAAACAAAACAAAACTGTTTACTGACATATAAAAGCCATAGAGAGCCCTGGCCAGTGTAGCTCAGTTGGTTGGAGTGTCGTCCCATACACCAAA